CGAGCTCTCAGCACTGGTACGGAGTCAGAGGGAATACCGAGAGTGTAGCCTGATGTGTTTCACTGAATCATGGATGCACCAGGACATTCCCGATGTTAGTAGTATAATTCAGTTGTTTCTGTCCTGGACACAGTTTCCATTTCATCATCGTGTTCTTGTCCTTTTGTGCAATTAAAAAAATGAAAGAACGAAAGACAGAAATAGTGTGTTCATATTTCTGCTCCTGGAAAATTGTAAACTGCTTCACCATTTCCCATCTCTCAGCACATGAACTTAAATCAGCCGATTGCTTCATAAGTGTGCAAGAAGAAAACAAAACGAATGATTTGTTTGATGTTTTTTTCTATCTACCTGGTCTGATAATGGAAGATTATATTTAAATGAAAGTAATAAAATAGTTATAACTGTAAAGTAATTAAAACTGTTTTTACAATAGTAATGTATTACATTACTGTGTTACTGAAAAATGTAATGTGATTACAGTAATGTGTTACTTTATAACTTTATACAGTTGACTGGAATATTTAGTGTTGAGCAAATTTCTTTCATATTCTTTTACAAAGGATTGTAGAAACATTGTGGAAGCCTAGATGTTTGGTTTTATACACCTGAATTCAATCATCTGGATGGGTGAGTGAATACTTTTGTAAATATGCTGTATTTATTGTGGAAGAAGCAAAGCTCAGTACACTGTTTTGTGACCTAGGGAAGAACAAGATTGCTGTGTCGTCTCCCCCCACTCTACATCGTAGCTAAAAAATGGTAAAAGGTCTTAGTGTTCAGCTTATTTCACTACTTGGTAGTAGTAAAATATATCTTTTTACAGTGAGAAATAATACTAATTCAATACGGGGATGCGGGAGCCTGCTGACAGAGACACTGGACCATTCTATGGGCAGGGAGAGTGAGAAGAGGTTATAATAAATGGGTAACGATGAGAGGAAGACCATAACGCAAAGAATAAAATTGGACAGCTTACTTGTCACACGTTTACTGAGGACTTGGACGGGGTGGAGCTAGTGGCTGAGGCTGGGGTGGTGTGGGTCAATGACAAGGAAGGAAGTATGGTAAGGGAAGATGGCGAGCATGGAAGAGGTCTTTAGGCTGTGGACGGCTGGATTGACTGTGAAGCAAGTTGGCATTGAATCCTATAAATACTTTGTTGCAGAATTTACACACAAAGAACGACTGACTCGTTACGACTTTTGGCTGAGAAAATACTCCAACACCAGACGTCTGCAATGCCGCTCCTTAAATAGCTGCCTGATGCTCCACGTGTGTGAAGTCAAAGTCAAAGTAAACTTTATTGTCATCTCTGCTATATACAGTACAGTGTATAGAGAGACGAGACAATGAGGCTCCAGTTCGATTCAGTGCAAAAGAACAACAACAAATAAGTAAGAATAAATATAGATACACTTTGAGGTAAAAAGGGTTAATAACAGTAAAATTTACAATTTAAAAATTGAGATTTAAAGTGACTTTGAAGTGGTTTAAATTACCCATGTAGCAGCTTTACAGATTGCAGTGTGAAATAGAGTAACCATCATGAGCAGGATTCCTGAGAGTAGGATTGTCCATAGAGCAGCATCTATATTTACAAAGGCAGTGATATGTGGAGTCCAATAGAGTCAGTTAGTGGTTTGTGTGGGTGTGTCAGGGAGACCCAAGGCTCACAGCCCCACCCGCCTGCTCCAAAGGGGAGCGACATTAAAAAAAAAAGATGAAATGAAAGTTATGACAACATCGGAGAGAGAAACATTTTCAACATTACCTGGATGTTGTTATATTGCTTTCTAGCACAATAAAGGTTGCCTTCAGAGAATCGTTTTATTGTCTTTAGCGTTAGAACAAGTTTTTTAGACAGTAGAAATGGAAATAAGTGTTTAGGTGTTATTACAGTTAGAGAAGGTGGTAATCTACACTGTCACAAAAGGCAATAAATGAATAACAATTGTGATTACATGAACTCCATAAAGTGTACAATTGTATGTGTGTGTTGGGGGGGGGGTGTCAGTATGTGTATGAACATTTGTCTGTGTGTATATGTTTTGTGTGTATGATTGTATTGCATCTATGAATGTTTTGTTGTGTATGGCCAACTGTGCAAAAAGGACACAGAGT